AGTTACGGTGCCTTTTTCTGAAGAAAATAAAAGGTTACAGCAGGATTGCCACTGGCTTCTATTCTGACCCATGTCTGGTAACGTCTCTAGCCACTGCGTTGCACCATCTCTAAAACCCCAACCAGGGAGTCGTGAAGGACCAATAGAAGTCAGTCCTGTGCAGCTTTCTTTCATACCACGACACCATGTCATACACTGACCACCTCCGCTCTTTCCAACCAGTCCCAGCGTCGGTGAATAATGCACGACGAGGAATTCTCTGGGATGACATTTGTAGAATATGTCCAAGCCCCCGAAGTCGATGTTTCAAGATAGTGACACCAATTGAATTATCGTCTCTACGCTCGAACACACGATCTCGAGTCACTGCCTGTTCGAAAGTTGAATACTGTATCAAAGACGCTAACATCGTAATCTCCGTAAAGGCTGCCTTTCTTATTGAGTTGTCGATGTTTTATTAAAATGACTTATCTTCCTCCTTTCTAACAACATTTATAATTTCACACACAAGAACTATTCTCCTGATTAGTCCTCTTTAATGAAGCTAACCACTCCTCTAGTTAAGATTTGACTACTACATGTAGTCTGGTTATACTTAACCCAACTCAGCTTCATCTAATTGGAATCTCTTCATTTTCTGCCTAGGTATACAGGCATCTTTGCCGACTTATACAGGACAGGATGATTCAAAAGGTTACCCTGGGAATCAAACTTATCCATCTAGCCAACTTGTCATGGACGAAAACAATGTACCCAGGTACACACAGGTTGTGACCCATCCAAGTGATGCACCTAACAATTATACTGAGTCGGGTGCTGCAGAGGCACAGTTGATATCTTTCGATTAAACGAATTTGAATTTTTTTTATTTATTTTGTGAAGCGAATCATTCATGATATTTTCCCTGTAATTAAATATTGTTGATGTCAGCTAGTCATTATTAGTTTGGTCATTTTCGTTTTTTTCCATTTCCGACGCTTATGTAGCAAGCAAAAAATTCCTGGTTTATTTTTGACTGATAACATTTTTAATAGCTTGATTGAATATGCTCTGTTAACTCACTATTATGTTAATATCTTAATATATGTCAGCCGGGAGTGAATGGTGTGGTCTTAATAAGCAAAAAAACGATTGTACCTAAAATATTCATGTTTCGAATGGTTTCATTTCTACGAAAAATTGGAATAACATAAGATGTTATTGATAACAGTGAGGTTGTTTACTCTATCATATTCAATTCGCTTTTCTTTTTAACTGAATAAATCCCATCCAAAAGCTAGTCGTTTTAAATGATCTGGTAACAAACTGTCAATAAAATCTTGTTGAAAAGTATATTTATCCAGGGAAGTAAAATGTGCTTAAAGCCACTGCTAGTTGCCCATATTTTGCAAATAACATTGAGTGACTAATACATTAGAATCAAGCGCGAACTCGAGTCTTGTCTACCAACAAATAGGGGATCTGTATTAATCGTAAGGTAAATTACAGTTGTATAATTATTACACAAACGGATGTTCATTTACTCTCTGCATTTTAAGAATTCTAATGTTACTCATCAAGTTGTTCAGTAGATAGATGAGCTCACTTCGCATATCAATGCTTGAACGGTGTAATATGCAGACAACTTTGCATTTGCACATTCTCACTAAAAGAAATGCACAAAGTAAGCCTGAGAATCCATCGAAATATACTGCATGGAAAAAGGTCTCCATCTCCGCATACACAGAACAAAGTTTTCGCATTATGGATCGTAACGGTCACTTAGCAATAACATCTCTCAAACTGCGGTCATAAAAGGGTTTTTGCTTGGAAAAGCTTGACCTTGTACGTTTGTTGACCGGAAAGGTTCTAATTTATTACTTTATAGCCACGACCAGGTCTGAAGCCAGCCTGATTCTCTTGTGTTTGCAGTTCACGAGTCTTAGTTAGGCGTCCGATAATTATCGAGGCCAGTATTTTAGATATTATATTAGTTAAACTAATTCCTCTATGGTTGTCACAGGATGATTTTGCCCCTCTTATATATTGGGACGATAAGTGATTGTGACCAGTCAGATGGAATAACGTCTAACTCCCAGATCTTAGCTGAAATATTAGTCAACCTAATCGCTGAAATTGGACCACCATCCTTAAAGACCTCTGGAACCAATCCATCTGGACCAGATTAACTATAGCCTTTTGAACTTCTGCTAGAGTCGGGGGACTTACTTCAATGTTCCATTTACACTGTCTGGGAATGGAGGGTATTTGTAGAGTAGCTGAAGGCCAGCTGAACTGTTCTCTGAAATGTTCCGCCCACCGTTCTAAACGTCTGGACTGAGAGCAGATAAGAGTGTCGTCTTTTTCCGAAATAGTCTGACTTACACTTGACTTACTAATTCCAGTTTCTTTTATTAGTCTGTAGAGATGTCTTGTGTTAGGAATAAACTTAGTAGAAATCCATTGTTTTTTCGTAACCCTTTGTTTAAATCACTAATATAGGTATCACTGTTGTTTCCACAACTGTTCGTATATCATTCCAAGCAACATCTGGATCAGCCTCGCTTTCAGAAATGCCTAATTGTGACCTCAATTGTTCCTGGGATCTACTTTTGGCTTCCTCGTCAGAGTTCGACTCTAGTGGGCTTTCCTAATGTGGTTTTCCTGCGTCCAGAGAGGCGCAAGAAAACGCGTGCTCGTATTACATCATGATCGGAGTTAAGGCAGGTATTCCTGAACGCGTGGCAGTCTCCTATCGACCCTCTCCAACGACGACTGATGGCAATATGGTCTATTTGAGTCCATCGTTGGTTTGGTGTAGGGGGTCGCCATGTTAGACGATGTCTCTCTATATGCTTAAAATTAGTACTTGCTAAAAATAAACGATTGTCTGGGCATAGTTGTAACAGGCGATCACCATTATTTGTTGGTTGTGCCGGAATACCAAAATACCCACTTCAACGTCTTTCCGATTGGTTTAAACTAACTATCTGGGAATTAAAGTCACCTGCTACGAGTACTATGTCTGAGTGTTTAGCTTTATGGAGAAGTCCAGAAAGCTTTCTGTAAAATTCATCCGAGCTGCAGTCGGTGGGAGCGTAGGCGGAAATGACAAAAAGGCAACGACGTGTGTCCCTATCCTTCCGAATTCTTACGGAGCCGAACAGCACATAGGCGACTGTTAACGGGAATCCGTTCTAATAGTGCTTGTTCTGCCCTCGTATTCAGTGCTATACCTACACCTGCCAGTACACGAGAACTAGCCATTGGGTTGCCAGATACACGGAGGGTGTATCTCGTCGGCTCCTCGTTTCAGAGAGGTGGGTCAAGTGAATGAGCACACTAGGATCATTTATGCGTGTTTCGGAGACACAACATACCTCAATGGTACGAGATCCTAGGGTTTTAGCCAAGGAGGTCTGCTGGCCGACTTGACATAGGGTGCGTACGTTAGTCTCCATTGCGTAGTTTGGAGAGAGGTTTCATTAGACCTGGGACAGTGTCTCGCGCAATAGGATCGTTGGTCATGATGACACTTGAGAAGAAAGCCAAAAGAGGAAGTTTAGAGGTGAAAGTCGATGTAGGAGGAATAATAGGAATTGAAGACGGAGGTCGATTATGAATACAGTGGTCTTGAGTGCTGTTAGAGGTATGAAGGCGGTTATCACTTCCCGGTCGCCTACACCGTGAAAGGGTTCTTCTGGAGGTGCCTGAAAGGAAATTGGATTAGAGGTGGTCTTAGTGACTTGAGAGCGTGACCGCAGTGCCCAGCGGACAACTGCTTGAGGCCGGTCACACCCGACCTCTTTGTGAGTAATCTCCGTGTTAGTTCCGTACTTATTCGAACCTTACCACTGGAGATGGAAATCCGTGGGATAAGGCGAGGTGTGTATTTTTAGAGTCGACCTTTTCTAACCCCACCCATCCTTGTGGGAAGGCAGCATCGCTGTCATGCCGGTTGTCTGAAGGAAACACCTTACTGCTGTCACACCTCTGTACAGTCAGCAGTACGACTTCGCCTTCGGACCTTGGGTTGTTGCTTTTAGTCTTACCGCTCTTCAACCGACCTGTTTGACATGGTAGGACCTTGAGGAACGGTTGTTCCAGCCAGTATAGCTCGGTTGCTTCATCACGATGGGCAAGTGCGATTACCCTGTCAAGGTAGTAACAACGGTCGGGATAGCTGTTTCGTTGACTGAAATGTTCTTAATCGCAACAATAGTTTAACTAGACATAAATATTTAAGTCAACGCACTAAATGCACTTACAATACTGATTACCACCAAACTACACAAATACATTGAGGAAACTGACTATAAGCAGACCATGCACAATAGACTATCACTAATCCCATTACACAATTATAGACAGGACTTAGTGACCTGAGGATTCACTGCTTTTAACTAATTTATAGATGGCCAACTCCACCTGTTTCCCTTCTAGGGCTACTGCTGGTCCCAAGCCCGGGTAGAGGAACAGAGTTGGGCACGAAATTTGCAGCTCCATTTCGTAGAAAACAACTTTGCTAAAAGACGTTAACCAGTAAAAAAAACCTTTTAAACTCTGCCCTGGGAGTTGAGGGTTTTTATCTAAAAAAATCATAACGCCTCGTGATGAAAACTAAGATTCTTCGAAAATCACAATACTGATGCCTTTACTGACAACCCAGAACAACAATCAATATAGGTACATGGAATATCCATACAATGCGGGAGACTGTGAAGACCAGTCAAATGGCTGCAAAAATAAGCCAAAGGCACAGTAGGTTGTAGAATCCTGGTCGGCGGCCTATGCTCCACTAAGGGTAACAGGCATAACCATGTAAGTATCTGCTAGTCACTTGTCGACATCCGAGTAACATTCCAGGAAAATTAAGGTTTTCAAATGGGTGAGTACCACAGTCTCATGATTAATAATAATAGTTGATTATAGGGACTACAAATTCTGCTTTCGTCAAGCGGGTTATGAATTCTCGAATGTGCGGGACGGACTATTACCGAAATTCGGTAAACGGTTTACTATCTGCTACATAACCGTGTGACTAATCTTAAATCAGTGCGAAGAAACTTTATTCATACATTTGAATAAATACTCATATCACTTTTGTCCATTTTGGTCTCCATCATTCGATGCTTCATCATCATCTTCCTCATCCTCGTCATCTTCGTCTTCATCGTCCTCATCACCAGAAACTTCACGATTCGCTTTTTCTAATTCATCCATTTGGCGTTGTAAGTCCGCGTCATCTGTATCTGAAACAACTCGAGGCTGAAAAATAAAACAATTTCGTCAACAGTAAATTCATGCATAGTATGACATTATTAAAATCTGAAACGACCGCCTCCTGCTTTGAGCTTTATCAAGATTTACAAAATAACAATTACAAGGCAAACTGTTTGCAAACGCTCATACTCTCCCAATCAGTAGTAGTAACTAGTAAGAGTATTGACTTATTTAATCCAATTACTATACAGCCAGTAGGGATATTCAACAAATAAATTAATTCTACTTTAAAAGACCTAACGAAACTTACAGCCTGTTGAATTTTGAATGAACCACCTTGATTTTCAATCGATTTCTTGATGACATCTAACACTTCATGTAGCTGTTCTAAGCCAGCAGCTCGATCCATCGTTTGTGTGGTCAGTACATAAAGTGGTGGTGCTATCAGATTGATCTAAAATTAATTGTGAAAAGAATGAACACTGATGTTGCTGAGTACACCAAAAGATACTGGGTTGAAAAACGTCTGAACTGCTCAGTCAACTCTATAATCTGTAACATGCCAAAGGTCACAACTTTGTAGTAGCTTCAGAATGATATCAAGGTACTCTAGGGCTCACGGTACCAAGGATTCAGAACAAACGTCAACAATTATTACTTCAGCTACTAAAGAACACATCTTTATGAGACAATACTATCCCAATCTCTCTGTATGAATAAAAGAATAGAAGATAAAATATTACCCAACAAACAAACAAAATCACATTTTAAAGACTCATGGATAAATCAAATGTGATCGTTATGCTTTGAAATGGGGTCTCAATCATTTATTAAATGACATGTATTCCAACACACTTAAACAAGAATTTCACACGATATACCCAGAATTCCACAAACATGATTTATACATAACAGTGGAAATATAAATATTAAGGCTCAGCAGCTTATTGTGACTTAAAGGGAAGTTCAAACACTAGGTTTGTTGGCACTTCAATGATACATTACATGTCCAGCTATTTATTCTCTTCCACTTAGGCTAAAGATTGCAATTTATGTATGAACAGATAGTTGCTTATTGATATCTGGCTTTGAATATATTGAGTTACTTGGTCAAACAGATTGGGTTTTAGGAACCATATTTATATTTTTACATTGATTTCGAAAGTTAAACAACGGATTTTTCAGACGGTTAATTTTTCGTATTTTTTTAAATGGTGGAACAGTCTAGTTACAATATTTTTTGATGTTCCATAATTTCGTACACTTTTCGCAGTTAGGAGTGTTGAGTAAAAAAGTTAGTTGAGTTCTTATTCGAAACACAACGCAATATCCATATCCACATTTATGTACCAAGTTGTCGATGAAAAACAACTCATCAAACGCAGGGAGGTAAATTGGACTTTTAAGCACAGTCCTATAATAGAAAGCACACCTCAACTCGAAAATACCAAGAGATTATTTAAATGAACCGTATATTTGTTAGGAATATCTGCTTTATTTCTTAGATGAGTACTTACTGTGGAAAAAACTTTAATTAGTACGTTTATTCTTACGTTGAAAAACGTTGTATGTAGTGAGAGTGTTCAAAATCAGCCGAACGCACCCTACTTATGTAACTGACAATTTGTTTCCTAGACACTTAGTATTTTTATTTTAGTAATTTCAATGGTGAAACTACCTTCTTTCTGTTATATCTGAAGATACAATTCTCAGAGCATTTTGTATGGTATCTTGGTTTGCAGCTCTGAAACTTTATAGCAGATTTGAATATCCATGCACATTGACCACTTTAGGAGATATGCTTGCAATTAATTAAAATGCACATCACTTACTGATATACACTGTATACCATTCAAATTCAAACAATAAACAGAAATTTGAAACCAATCAAAGCGTTAGGCAGAGTTTCCTGACCTTTCTAGGTACACATCAGTAGTTAATGCCTTTATTATTCCAATTTATATTTAATCACGAAGGAATGAGTTCTCAGAGCTATCACATAAACCACAAATAATATTGCTTATCTCTGTATACAGTGATCCGACATTTATTGTAACCCTACTAACATCTGAACGACTTAAAGAGCTAAATAAAAATTAGATTAACAGAACTAGCTCACCCGGATTGGAAGGGAATCTGAATTGAGTTCCAGTCCAGAGCGAAGTGCACTTTTAACAGCATCGATACCATCATAAGTGAAACACGAAACCTCAAAGTCAGCACGAATCTTTACTGCTTTTGGTGTTAATCGATGTCTGATATCAGTGAGAAGCATTTCTTTTGTTGGCTGATCTATGTCACATTCATCAAGAATTTCCGGTGAACTATAAATTCATAAGTTGTTTACGATACGTGAATTTAATCGAATAATAAATAAAACTGACTTTTAGAATTGAAACTAATTGATTAGCTTAAACTGAAAACTGAATCTTTTGAAATTAGTTTTAAAGTAAAAAAAAATGAGTTTCAATAAATAGTTACCTTGTTTGGTCATCGTTGAATATGTCAAGTATAATAGGCTATCATTAATCCCTGGAACTTTTAGTATTTTTGGCTGATAGGTTCTTATTGTCAGCTTATCCTTATTGACTTTGTAGTGCTAATCGACTTAAACATCTTTGCGATTACATTTGCCTACGGTGTGGTATTAAGTCACGACACGAGGGGTTATTAGATAAGGTTGATTTTCTAAACAAGCTTGTTCTTTAGTCAAACAATCAGACAAACAGAACGGTTGATGTATGAATGAATAAGGGGGTATGCATTGAATAAGTCATATATATATAAATTCCTAAACCAAAAATGCAGTACATGGTTTAAATGCAGCAAGGACGTCAAATATACGTACACAGACAATTAGAAACATATATGTGTACACAGATAAGAGTTCATAATCACTTGTGAGAGTGGATACAAAATAACCAGTGAGATTTCAACTATACACTAAACTTCTAAGTACATGTCTAATATCTTCAGAACACTACTTGAAAAGAGGTGTGCAGAATAAAAATAATAAGGAAAATGATTAATATATCGTTTCTACAACCTATTCCCTTTGACGGAATAGCTTCAGAAACAACAACTACCATTGTATTAACCGTTGTATTAGCGGTTTTTATTGAAAAAGATCATGTGAATAATTTCACCACTCAACTGGCTGTTAACTGTTGTTAGGTATCTGTTGGATTTAGGATTCTGATTAAATTTACTTCACTTAACAGATCTTCAATCAACATTCCTGGTACTGAAAACAAACTCCCTGAATTGGTTCGGCGGTTCAATAGTAATCTGATGGTCGACAGGTTTTATGGTAACGTTTGTTATTGAAAGACACCATAGAAGTTCACAGAACATGTGAAGGATCTTTACTGAAATATCTGTGGTCAAGTCACTGCCTATAGTCAACTGTTCTCTAAACTGGTTACATCAAGTAGTGTTAGTCAATGAAAACCAAACCCATCATTTTTGTGTACCTTTATCATAAAGATACTTTTAGGGATAACTCTTTCCGTTTGACATTCCAAAGATTAGTCTCCTACTTGATGATTCATTCATCAACTTGAAACACGCAAACGACAAAGTCCTTTTGGGCGATGACGCTGACGAAATAGAGTTCTGCAAACATCATGAGTTACTTACTTGCACCCCTTACCTATAGTGGAACATAGGCCGCCGACCATGATTCCAAAATTTACTCTGTCTTGGGCTCTTATTTCCAGTTTTCCCCAAGTACTATTCATTCTTTTGATTTCTGCTTCAGATTCTCGGAACAATGTATTCTTTGGTCTGCCTTTTTCTCTTTTCATCATGAGGATTCTGAGTTGGGGCTTGCCTCGTGACGCAGTTTGATTTCTCAATGTGTGTCCTATCCACATCCAGTCTTTTCTTAATCCTCTCTTCAGTTGGAAGCTGGTTCGTTCTCTGCAACAGTAGGTTATTGCTGATGGTCTCCGTTCAATGGATCTGGAGTATAGTGCATAGACAGCTGTTTATGAATATCTGTACCTTTTCAATTGTGGTTGTAGTAGTTCTCCAAGTTTCAGCTCAGTACAATAGAAGTCTTGAGGTTCGTATTGAAGATTATGACTTTGGTCTCGAGTGACGATTATTTTCAGTTCCAAGTGATCTTCAGTTGTAGGGATGTTGACTCTTGCTTTGCCAATACGTGTCTTCACAACTTCATTAGATCCCTCTTGTTTTTAAATGATACTCACTAGGTGCGAAAAGGCACCCACCCCTTCCAAAGCTTCTCCACCAAGTGTGATTCGGTTGATGCTCACTGTGATATATTTTAGGAACTTGCTTTTTTCCGTCGTACATGTTGGGACATACTGTTGTAGAGGCGGCTGCTGCTATATTGGCTACATTTATCCGGATTTTTTGCTGCGTACGAGATAGCAGCACTAGATCATCTACGAATTCTAAATCGTCTAGCTGCATCCAAGATGTCCATTGCATTCCATGCTTACCCTGATATTTAGACGTCTTCATAATCCGGTCGAGCACCATAGGAGAACCTTAAGTAATCTTCTTTCACACTGGGCCTGAGAAAATCATCACCACCATACGAAATTTTCTCGATGGACTACAATACAAAGTCCTGTATGGACGACAGCTTACAGATGCACTTCTAGTGAAAACGGGTGTTAGGAAAATTTGCTTACTCTCACATTTTCTGAAGGTTTTACTGTTGACGTTGTCTAAATCGTGATATAAACTAAGAACAACAATAGTATTTCTAAAATCTAGTTTTCTCTCGTTTAAGATCACCCGGAATCAGCATATTGTTCACAAAATAAAAGTGGTTGTGTTATCATATCAATAACTGCTTAGCCTAACCTCCTAAGTATTAACGATCATATCGATTGACCTGCTGACCCTAGAGATAAACTTGTGTGACAATTACATATAAGAACTGATTACGCAAAAGTAGTGACACTGACGACTAGCGTCTAAAATTTAGACATTTTAAGGGAGCGAAACTAAGATACCCATCTAACCTGTATATGTTTCAAGGCCATCAAAATAAAATACCATGTATACTCAATTTATGCATGATGGTAAGTTACCGAGATTTGCGCTAATGCTATCATTTATGGTTATACACTTTATTAAGACCTGACGCTGAGAATCTCATTTAAAATATATCAGGTTATTAGTGACTAGTGTAGCAACCTGATTTGGATGTTTAAATAAGCATTTCAAGAAGTATTTGGTAGGCTTAGTGCAATAAAAGGCGCAGCATACCAAATAACATGACAACCTTAAGACGGCATGATTATTGGTATAATAAGTGCTGATAGAAATCAATGCCATGGCTGGACTTGGTAGTTTTAAATAAGTTGTGAATCTGGTAAAACAGGTAATAACAAATGTTTTTGTGATATCCCAATGAGTGGAAAACCATGAGACGTCAGAATTATCATTTTCTACCTAATGGGATATCACGAAAATATATTTATTATTAGGATATATTGGTGTTAGTCAGTGGAAAAATGACCACACATCGGCTACATGATTTTTGGAGCTCTTGTTTTTGTCTTAATGACTAAGCAGAAGAATAACACAATACTAAACAGCTGGATAGAAATGTTTCACGTGCATTAAGTCGACAGCAATGCTTCAATCACTTTAACAAGACTTGTCTAGGAACCTTGTTGGAAGAGCAAGTTTTTGTACCATACGGTGTGTAAATTTGGAAATGAAGTAGTAAATAGAGGTCAGTTAGAACTATGTTGACTTAATGACTTTCATCAGGTCAACTTAACTACGCGTTCAACCCAGGGGTAGTGGTTCACAATAATACTACTGCGATGAACGACCTACCAACTGATTGTTATTAGATATTTGCTCAACCATCAAAACGTGTTATTTTTAGGGTACCCAAAAAGCACATCCAGAAAACTAGGTAAAAAAGACTGACTTCACAACTTTCTTGAAAATGTCATACGAACCAGCTCTTCGACCAGTTTTCCTGTCAAAATACCAGGCGGTTTTTCTACATAGCTCTTCAAGTTGTTCATCAGTCTTATAATCTAACTTCTCAGCTACATTCCTCAAGATTTGGTTGACCTACATAGAGATTACTACAGACAATGGTGAACAAACCGCCTTTGCTTTGGCGAACCTTTCCTTGCACTTCGCTATTTCTTCTGCAGATGCTCTTCTTTTTGACAAATCAATATAACCTAAGAGTTCACCAAAATACACAATCCGTTACCTTTGGCACTGTCGACTCGTACCACAGTTACCTCAGTATTTGACCCAATTCGGACAAGCTTGCTGATAGATCTTATGCGACGACGGGATAGCTCACTATGTAATATCATTCCTCCAATGTTTTTGTACTCCAGAAGTTCCACATAGCTACCCATTGACTGGATGACTTTAACTGTCACGAGCACGACATCTCCGACCTCAGGGAATAAATCCTCGTAGAACCTGCACTGTATGGGCATAACCTAGGCTTTTTAGAATTAAAAAGTTGTCTCCTGAATAATGACGAAATCTAATATGCGAACCCGCCTTTGATTTTCCCACGTGCTTATTAAATCGATGTTAGCCAAACCGAGCCCAAGGTCAGACGTTGAAACCCACACTTTCAAACTCCAAATCGTACACCGACTCATATGGTTACAAGTTTCAAGAACTGTCTTGCAGTGTAAGAGAAACTTTACATGATGCTAGGATTCAATTCATTATTGTTCCTCATATTGTGTCGGTCGTTCTGGTGTGTGTGAAAGGAAATTACATGTCACATGTATAAAATCATTTCTTATCATCCTGTATGTAGTGATTGTGTCAGTCACAAATGTACAGGGCCAATGAAATGTTATTGCATCCTTTCCGACTCATCCGACAGTCTGGTCGCCGAATTTTGAACAGTTTACCGATCCTCCTTATGGTCAACTAAAATCAAAGAGCGTAAATAAGTTGAACGCCGTGGACTTGCACATTCAACACTGGCCGCACTCCGTTTCTTGTACCTACAATTATCAAATTATTTCTGTAATAACGTTGTTTGTGCTGTACAATCATCTAGGTAGCCATAGCACCTGGATACGACGTTAGGTGCTAAATATACGACCGGTATTCGGAGTTTGACAACGCATTTACACGTAAAACGTCTGTGATCAAAGTACGCCGACCCGGCAAAATCATAAATGAAGGATTTCAAAGATATATTTGGAAAGCTATTGATATGTCTAGAAGCGTTGTGGTCTAAGCTGGCTAGTAGTTCAGCACAGCGCATCCACTCATGATCTGGTGCGGATGCATGAACCAGAGCCGTCAGCTAGGATGTGTCCGGCGAAACTATTGAGGTCAGCATCAAATGCCGAAGACCTATAGAACTATTTAGTTCGAGGATTAATTTGCCACTACAGCTCACTCCCCTTCCAATGGGGTGCTGGTTACTCCAAGACGTAACCAATCAGGATTTGAACTCAACGAGCCTCCCGTTGGTAAACAATCTACTAGTGGCTTGCGATGCGCATCAGTATATATACGAAAAATTCTATTCACAGTATTCTTCATCGGATTTTCCACGACGTCTGAGAAAGAAAAATTGAAGTTGTAAGTGTGCGTCGAAATACATTTGTGCGTATGGACACAAAACGTTCGAAACAAAAAGAACTAGTATACATGCGTATCGATAACGTGCTATAGCCTAAAAATATCTTTGTGCAATAATTCTTTTGCAATTTTAAGTAAATTTAAACACATATATGTGCATATTAGCAAAAATTTATTTCTCTCTTACGACACGAAAGTGAGAAAAAAACAAGATAAAACAAAATGTTATGCAGTTTCCTATATGCGGTAATCGTTTCAGTGTTCTGGAAACCTTACCCTGAGCTGGTTGTCAAATGCCAGCAAACCTTATTTGTGATTGTTGATCATCGGGTGAGGTTTCCTAACCATGAGGCTCGTGTCCTTCGACCGTATCGGAGGAAAATCAACATTATCCGGGTTTCATTCTAGATGGGCGGCTTTAAGACTGCCAACGTTGATATTATCATCAGTTCCTTTTTTCAATTATATCGTATCTATGTTTGCGGTGAAGGACTTTGAAGAGTTCATCGCATAGAGTTTCCTGAGGTTGGCGTAGTTAATCGAGATATACAAAATAGTGTAAACTAAGTCGTAGCGTAGGTAAGGAGATTACACCAGATGAATGTGGTCGAGTAGAAACATGTTTAATTGAAGGTAAAGCGTTTGTAAGCCATCAGATAAACTATCTAATAATACGTCTGACATCGCCAAAGCCACAAGCGACAGAAAATTCATCGCACTAATATGATAACTTAACCGTAACCTAGCTATTATTCATAATAATGCTAAAAATAGAAACTTCAGCCTACATTAACACTAAGTTAGGAATATTTCTGAACTAACATTTGTAATAAGTCCTAAAGACTCAAATTCGTTCATGTTGATCAAACCATTTTATGTTCGTTACGCTTCCGAATCATTAAACATGGAGACATTTCGAACCATCAAAAATACTAGGCATCGGAAGCAAAACTAGTAATTTCCAGCTGGATACTGCACATTTGAGACTTTAACTGTTTGGAGAAAATGACTTCTGGATATCGTCACAAAGCACTGTCACGATCAGTCACGTAAAGTGGTTGGCAGAATTGAAGAAACTAATGGCGAAAACTCAGTCGATAAATTGACTGACAGTTACAAATTTGAAATATAATTTCCAGTGCCCTGATATGCTGCCTATCGTTACCTAAGCCAAAGTGAAACAAGTTGCAAACCTATGGATTGAACCCAAGTGCTGTTAATGTACATAAAACTATCTGTAGGACTACAGTTCCCTCGTCTTATCGCTTGACTTCTGACCACTGGTCAGAGAGTTCAGTAGCCTGTCTTGGTCATCTGGGGAATGTTATTCACTCACGAAATGTGGTTCAAAACTCACATCATTGTACACATGCTCTGGTCTGAGCCATGTTAGTAGATGTAGACTACTTGGTTGGGGTCCGCGCGGCTATCATAACCAATAACTGCAATGATTTTTACATATTACTACAGTTGAAGTGACTACTTCTACGAAATTGGATTAGAGGTGGTCTTAGTGACTGAGAGCGTGACCGCAGTGCCCAGCGGACAACTGCTTGAGGCCGGTCACACCCGACCTCTTTCTGAGTAATCTCCGTGTTAGTTCCGTACTTATTCGAACCTTACCACTGGAGATGGAAATCCGTGGGATAAGGCGAGGTGTGTATTTTTAGAGTCGACCTTTTCTAACCTCACCCATCCTTGTGGGAAGGCAGCATCGCTGTCATGCCGGTTGTCTGAAGGAAACACCTTACTGCTGTCACACCTCTGTACAGTCAGCAGTACGACTTCGCCTTCGGACCTTGGGTTTGTTGCTTTTAGTCTTACCGCTCTTCAACCGACCTGTTTGACATGGTAGGACCTTGAGGAACGGTTGTTCCAGCCAGTATAGCTCGGTTGCTTCATCACGATAGGTAAACCCGACCACCACGTCAAGATAGCAACAACAATTGTATGAACTGAACTTTGCGAATTCACCTAACATATATAAACATCTCATGGGAAAAACCTTCTATCACGTTGATTATTTTATAAAGGTACGATCGTATAGCTTTGAAGATGAAGTATATAAGTAGATGAACTCAAGTATTGAAAATATTGTTAATCCACAGATAACTTTCATAGTTCGATGAATAAGGATCAAAGATTGTAATGCACATCTAAGTATTTCCGCCATTCCGAAACAACATAGGGATACTATAGTTATCAGTCCTAAATGCAGTTACACAGTATTTCAAATCGTAACAAAATCTCATGAAAAAATTGAACTGAGAAAAGTTCCAGATTTGCATGAAACACATTTCTGTTACAATCTGTGTAAGATTCGAGGTTTTAATGAGACGAGAAACCCAAATGTATTTTTAGTGGTTGCTTAAAACCTTAAGCTACTTAAACTTTATGTATGGCTTAAATTAACCAGAGTATATATTTATTGGTTGAATGCACAAAAATCAACTGCGTAAAATTTTTATTCGAGGGCCAGAACACACTGCAGCACTTGTAGAACGGAAGAATAAAGAAAAGTACCCAATGACTATCCTTTAAAAAAACGACTACCCACGCAATTTACCGAAAAATATCGTCCCAACTCATCAGAATTGAAATCAAGTAAAGAAGCAAACAAACGGATCATCCTATCATACATAAAAGACATCAGGAATCACGATATTATTGAAGTCGTTTGTAATGGGTGTGTAACAGCTTAGGTTAGTTAGTTAAGAGTTGACCCCAAACAACCAAGCATATGCCAAAACAGTATTGTTCAAGTATTCATTCACTTCCTTATTTTGTATAAGCGTTATATTCCCTATTATCTTATATTGAATGTTGAGAGCCTTTGTTTGTCTGAACAGATAATCCCACGCTCCACTGTGACTGCGCTAAGATCGAAATAAAGACCTATTCACTACTTGTCTGGTTTCTTCTATCAATAGCACGAGGGTTACTTAAGGCACGAAACTGGTGAGCCCTTTTTGAACACAAATTTAACCTCATTTCTGTTATTAACATTTTTTTTACTTAATCGTAAAAGTAGACCTGATTATCCGTAAACTAATTTGAGTATATAACTAGTTTATTCCGTATTATCTTAAGTTATTCGTGTTATAGTAACCATTTTTCGTGCTAACTTTATTGCTATATTTGTCACATACCTCATGTCAGACTCAATAGAAACCCATAATCTGGAGGATTTGTCACCAGTGGAGATAGACACTGTTATGACTACGAAATCCCGACTTCCAGAATTTGATCGTAGTGATCCTGAGTTGTGGTTTGCTCAACTAGAGCATTATTTCACGAGACACAATATCAAATCTGAAGGGATTCGCTATAGAGACTTGTGTTCTATCCTTCCTCCTTCAGTCGCCAAAGAAGTCCGTGACTTGATTTTAAGTCCACCATCACCACAACCATACACCATCTTAAGACGAGAGATAATGAACCGTTTATCATTATCAGATAGTCAAAGAATCCAAAGACTTTTTCAAGGTGAAACACTAGGTGATCGGTCGCCGTCACAGTTTTTACGTCACCTCCAAGTCTTAGTGGGTGATAACACAGTGGGTGAAGCAGTCCTAAAACAAGGATGGATACAAGCTCTCCCATGCTACGTCCAACACTGTTTGGATGCACAAGATCCTGAAACCTCATTATCTCATTTAGCGCGTATAGCCGACAGAATAATGGAAAGAGGTCCTCCAACTGGATCAGGCACAATAAATCACACACAAAAAGTAGAATCAGCAAAAGACCCCGTAATAGAAGGACTCATTGCGAGTGTTAAGAGTCTCACTGAGGCTGTCACCAGAATGCAAATGGGTCATAGAAACAGGAGCAGGTCACCACAACGACCACGATCCAAGTCACAAAACAGGTCACAAATGTCCAGACAATCTGGGCAGTTTTGTTGGTACCACTGGAAGTTTGGTGTCAACTCAACCAAGTGCATGCAACCATGCGCCTGGCCTAAGCATAATTCTAAGACAGCGGGAAACGAGTAACCCCTCCCCAGGTCGCGACGACTGAGGAGGGGCGCCTAAACAGTCG